CTGTTGTCTCTCTTCTTGTCTCATTTCTTTTTCCTCCAACAACTGTTGTAATCTCTCTTCTTGTTTCTTTTGCTGCTCTTGTATTGCTGCCATCAAGTCTGCTAAGCTGTAGTTTGATTTGCCGCCTCTCGTTTCCATCTTCTTCTTTTTATTTTCTATCCTACTTCTGACACCAATTTGTTAAGTCTCTGTATGTTTGTTTGTTAATTTTTTCGTATGATACAAGTCCTTTCTTAATAAACAAGTTTTATTTATTACAAAGTTGTATTGAGGAAGTTGTGAACTATAGTGTGTGTAACTGTGAAAATTAAGTACCAATTCACTCATTTTCTCTCGCGCTTAGACTTAATTGTCCGTCCCCGCCAACTATAGTTCCGATCTCTGTCTGCTATCCTCAGTTTCCGCCGACCGTAGTCGCGGTCTTTCTCTCTCTCTCTGTCTGCTTCATCTCTGCCTCCCTCTCTCTCTCTCACTGTCTAGCGCACTTATATACGATAATACTGCCTGTTCTAGAAACTTCTAAGACTCTCAACACGTGCTACCAGCGTTACTTGACTTTCGCTGTCGTAACACACTAACGAATCTTCTGGAATACTCGTCACGTGATCCCCGCTGTCGTAACAATAATTTAGAATATTAAAAACAAAATGTCCAAGAAAATAATGTTACATGTGGCAGCACGGGTGTCGTGCATATTAAGTGGATTAGGATGTCGCAAGTGAAAAATGTTTGGAAACCACTGACCTATGTACTTCTGTAAAATCTTTATACTTTGTTTGTTTCAGAATTTTCTCGCAAAGCTACACTAGGGTTATCTAAGCATAGCCGTCCCTAACATAGCCCTAACTGATAGACTAGAGGGCAAGCAACTAATGAACAGCACTTACCGCCGATACTGTAAGAATGCAGAGATAGTCCATATTGGTATCGACTAGAGAAATATCACAATCTCAAGATAAAGATTTATATTTGTATAGTTTAAGGTCATAGACTGGTTTAGTTAGGGGGGGAGGGCGTTCAAAAAATCGGTAGCCTATAACGAAAATCTATTGTATCAGCTTTGCAGCGACCATATTTGTACACATCATTAGTATTGAACACACTAATTTATAGTGTTTGTAGTTAAGCATAAAACTACACATTGAACTATCTGTGCCGTGTACACCACGGGTATCGAAACTCTATTTCTAGCGTTATAACTTCTCAGACTTACCGCTCTGCCTCTAGGAGCCATTAGTTTATAAAACAAAAATGTAAGTCACAACATTAGCATTATTGTCACAAATTTGTAGACACCGATGTAAATTACACTCGCTTATAATTTCTTTGTTGTTGATAATTACAACAATAAAAATAGTAATAACGTGAAGTGTATTTTATTTTATTTATTAAAGAATATCCTTCACACATGTAACTTTTACTTCGTACAAGCTGCTTTTTAATGGTAATGCAAGCCACGTACGGAATAAACAGTATATGTAGGTGTACCTATGTGGAAAATTCATTAACAGCATGTTGTGGCATTCAAGAAGAATTTTTAAAATTGTAGAGTTATTTTCATTTTCCTCCGTATATAAAGCAGTCTTCCTTTATTTGTGGGTCACATAAATTTTTCATAAATAATTTCATCCCTATAATAAACTATTGCAAAAGCTGTCACTTCGGATTCAAAGATTGACCAAGTTAATTTTTTGAAGTGTGCGATACCCAATGTGACAAAAATTACACCAAATAAAAAACAGAAATTATTTACTTTTCTGTCAAAATGGCTAAACCTAAAATGCTAGATTCTTGAAAATCTTTAAATTAAGGTACTTCGAAAACCTGTAAGCAAATCTTTGTAATTTTATACACTTGAATACTTGCAGAAGACATGCAGAAGAATAACTGATCAGCTTGTAAGTTTTATTTTAACTAAAAATATTTCAGTGTATGAAATTAAAATTTAATTTCAAACTGTCACGGCTTTCGATCAAATTTTTTGATGTATAGTTTTGAAATCATCCAACAGATAGTAGCACAACTCATAAACACACACACACATATATATATATATATATACACACAGTAACTGTATAGTTGTAATAAAGGCAAACTTGGCTGAACATGCAGAAAAGTAAGTAAGTGTTCACAAAGTGATAAGCGTATGATTCTGAATAACCCATGCATGCGTATTTTAGACCTAAATGGTTTAAACTATTTCATATCAAATACTTACAGTACGTAGTTTAAAACAAGTTC